GAGGAGGGGTCTAAGTGTACATCTTTCGCCATCTTACAATGCTGTGATTGCAGCCATTCCCCAACTCTCTGTGAATGGTACTCATGGCCATTGATCAGTGGTCTTTGATCAGTGGGTTTTGGTCATTGGTCATGAGAATTTGCACAATTATGATGAAGGAACTGACCTCCCAGCCCACTGTTCCTTCAGTGGGCTGGTTTCAGTCATTATGCAAATGTACTGTTTATAAGATTGGGGAAACCTACAGTCAGCTGAGACTGAAGAAGTCACCTGGATGAGTGACGAAACATTTCTCCCACAAAATGCTACGTCCAGATGAACTGAATCAACTTTTGGGGGTTCTTTAATGACTGAGCCTTTGCCTCTGGTTTGATGACCAAAGTCTTCACTTTAAAACAGGTGGATTATATTAGAATCTATGATTATTCACTCCAAATTATTCTTAGACACTATAATAGGTCATCTGACAAATTCAGCTGCTTTTCAATGTAACACTGTGATGTTTATTATACTGAAGATTCACGATTCAGGATTCAAGATTCTTTATTTGTCACATGCATAGTTATACAAGTACAACACGCAGTGAAATGTATCCTGACACGCTCTTCAACTGCAAAAGGGGAGAGAAGAACATTATATACATAAAGTGAATATATACATGGGGGACATTATGAGCATTAAGCATTAAGTACACACGTGACGTCATCTGGAACCAGTTTAGAAAGCCGTTAACAACATTATCTTTCAGCAATAATGACCTGACATTAGTGACAGTAAAAACGCCACAGGTTAACACGTTTAACACTAAATAAAGTGTTTTGTTGTGGAGTTTGTGTTCCCCCTCACAACGTCATTCAGTTACTGAAGAATAAACCTGTAATTATGGAAAGTTTTTTTTTTTTAGTGGAAACTGCTGAAAAGCAGCTTATGAGTCACATACAGTGCTTCGTGGTCAAAGCTGTCTCTAGTGTTACTGCTGGTTCGGTAAGCAATACCATTTTTATAATAACGGTAAAAGATCACACACATAAATTTGTGATGTTTTAATATTGCTTTTAATAGGGGAATCAATCAGTTATCTGGGAGCCTGTGGCAGAGTGCACATTTGGGGTTTGTTGTGTAATTTTGTTGAGACGACTGTGCAGGAAGAAGACCCAGATGAAACAGGTAGAGATTCAAAACACACGCAATGATGTCATTGTGATTCTGATGTTACTCTTTTACTTTTACATACACAATCCATACAAGTAATCCTCTCCACACCTCGCTCTGACGACATTACTTATGTGACAAGTCTTTTTTGTATATCTGATACAGGCAGTGACTTCATTGCCTTCCCATGTAATAAACTTTGATATACGTACAAGATAAAAAAAAAAAAAGAAGGAAAATTCCTTCAGAGAGATCTCAAGTTACAACTTGAGAACATGTGGCAATGCGATGGCCTGCTTGCCTGACTGGCCTGTAAGTTACCTTTCTGTACTGCAGAAACGAAAGAAAAGGCCATCACAACATCTGGAAACTCCCTGGTTTGGTGTCCTTCTTCCTCCTTCAGTTGAAACGTGAATAATAGGCTGACCCATCTGTGAGTCCGAAGCCCACCTATGCATTAAGAACACACCATAAAATGAGTGATTGCAGCTCTGTTTCTAGGTGTCTTCTCCATGCCCGTCTTTGCTGGCTGATGTCTCAGTCATGGGACAATCCAGTCTGTCCCACTCTTTCTGTTTGTTACAAAGCCCCAGCTCTAAACTGGACAAGGACATTGACTTGTTTTTTAAGAGCAGTTAAAGTGCTAGTTTGTGTGAAATTTGGATAATTAAGTGAACTGTTAGCATTTTTCACATTCAACATCCTTGGAAGGAAGCTCGTGGGATGGTGAATGCAGGATCTCAGAAATGTTCACATAAAAGGAATTAATGTGGGCTCCAATTTCACTTCAGCTGGATGTCCAGGAGAAGGTTTGGACCAAGGTTTGTGGTCGAAACAGAGTGTAAATACTGAGGCTGTGATTTCTGTGACTACAGATGTGCAACAGACTAAAGGATGTTTCAGTGGTTTTATGTTAAATCATAAAAATACGCAAATATCAACACATACAAGTAAAGGTGTGCAGAGCTCCTCCTTTCTCTCTGATCATGGAGTTGTCTTCAGACCTCAGTCCTAGAGAGAATTTGTGGAGGGAGCTGAAGCTTTGAGTTGCGACGCAGCAGCCAAGAAACCAAAATGATTCTGAGTTTCTCTGAAGAAGAGTGGCCCAAAATCCCTCCTGATGTGGCCAAACCTGGTGACCAACTACAAGAAATGTCTTACTGCTTGGCGCTGTTGGTAGTTGCCAACAAAGATTTCGCCACCGAGTCATGTTCTGTGACATGCAGACCAATTTATAACATTCATGTCATCTCTTTCCTTGGAAGTTTGGTTGATATTCTGTCTCTCTCCATCAAAATGAAACTAGTCTAAAAGATTGCTCACTTCCAAAGAAGTAAGCAATCTTGCAAATTCAATCAGGGGATCAAATAATTATTTCCCTCGTGTTTTTTCACATCGTGGATAGTGATTTTTTAGTAAAAGCAACCCCACATAAGTTTGTGTTTGTATGTATGTACTGTATGTTTATATAGCATCTAAGATCACATGACCCTACATATATCTCAGTGGGTTAGAACAAAACAACGGACAGATGATGCAGCTGTGCCACACATCAGTTCTTTCACTGCTATCTTGGCTAAGATTATTAGATAAAATTTTAATAATTTGTTTCATTTCCTAGTTTAAAAGGAATTTCTTCATGCAAAGCTGGTTGAATGTCCCTGTTTAAGATCATGTGGGTACACCTCCTGGGGGCAAATGAGGTCGACTTATGTCAGAGAGAAGCCAAATTTCAGAAGAAAACCATGAGTAATAAAAGAAGGAAGAAATATAAGATAACTATGTGCGGGTGTGTGGTTCATCTGCATGATAACCTACTCATGTGGACTTTTCCCATGATAAAAGAAGTCACACCTAACAAATGGATTAGACACATTTTCTCTTTTTAACTAATCTGCGAGGCGTTCAAAGACAAATCAAAAAAACATTAGTTAATAACCAGTCTCACAGCAGAGAGGCAAAATTTAGAAACAAAAACTGAACTTTTATTAGTGTCGTATTATTTCACCATCCACCTACCAAAGGTCTGGGTCATTTCTGAACGTTCTGTAGCTCGTCTGCGAGCTGCGTTCACAGACCACTCTGCTTCCCTCATCTTCTTCAGTGTTGCTCAGAAGCCTGAAATGCACATCAGAAATGCAGCCCAACACGTGGATGTGCAGAAATGTTTGCATGACAGAAGCAGTAACATGTTTTATTCTAATAATATTGTCTCTGATAAAGACAAACGTTCATGCAGATTTCCAATAAATCATAACCCAACAACAACAACAACAACAACAAAAAACAAGAAAACAAAAAAAAACAGCACACATTCCTCTGATCATGATGCTTGCTTTCGAGTCAGGTCTGTGACAATCTGTTCACTACAAAAGGTGTAACACTGAAAATGCAGCAGGATAATCTTTGGTAAAGATGAGAAAGTAGAGATATAAAACACACAAGGAAAACATGAGAAAATGAGTCACATGTACAAAAACACTCTAAGTAAGAGGAAATGACATCAATGAGGTTTTCTAATGAAAGAGGCAAATTTACCCCGGTACAAAAAAAAATAAAGGTGCATTTAAACGCCTTTTAAAAAAAACAACAACAACAAAAAAACAATATACAGTTCCCTCTAAGGAACCCTTCCCTTTGATGGAAATGTCCCTACAGATTTAAAAACAATACTAAGATTTTGTTTTCTCTTCGTATTAACTTCAGTCTCTTACACATCCTTCATTCTCGAGTCTTCTTGTAAACACAGAGTAAAAAAAAAAAAAAGAAAGAATGAAAGGTTTTGATGATTCACCTTAATTATTGGGACACAAAACCTCACATATTTCAACAAAAGGGTGTTTTTGTTTCTTTTCCTTTTTTTAAGGGAATCAAACGAGCCCCTAGAAACACATGAATGTGCAACTGTCAACTATTTCAATCTAATAAAAGACAACAACTGAACAATCTGACAATCATTTCTAACGAGCAGTAACACAAAACAGATTTGACACAAGTCGTCTTGGACGGGAACACCTCTAAAATCTTGTCTACTCACAAAGATTTCGTTCGAATGAAAAGGTCAAATATTTAAAGACCCCACAAAGCGAAACAAGTCCAAGTTATTATGAAATTAACCACTGTATTGGGACTTCCTTAACACCGCTGACTTTTCTTTGGTAATGACGATGTGGTAATGCTCACCACAGTGTGTTTTTCAACACACGGGGAAACAAGCATTTTATCAGCTTTGCTATCTTTTCCAAGTGTCCTTTAATGGGGTCGTTAAACATGTTTAAGAAGCAGTAAGACACTCTGTACAAGCTACTCTACGCTCACTTCACCAGCTCAATAACAAAGACCCACTTTACACTTTACAATAACAGTCTATCAGAGAGAAAACACAGAGTTCTTTACAGCAAACAGAGCTGTGGGTTAGGGCTTGTATGCTACATGCTTTCACACAAACATGCTCTCTTCAGATCACATAAAACAAATTGATTACAGAATAACTGACGAGGATTTTTCCCTTTTCGCCACTGAGAGGTCCCTGTAGCAGACTCGCTCCCGGGTTTACAGCTGAAGCACAGTCTCCCTGCTCACTTATGCCACCCAGCTGCCCTGATGTAGTGTCCACATGGTCAAGTCAGGAGGAATGTTCAGTTTCAAGGCCATCCTTTAGCTCAATCAGACAAGTAGTGTTAGCGTAACACACCAGAGCCTTCATCCTTCAGTCTCTAGAGCTTCTTGATCATGTCTAATATTTTTCAAACAAACTTGTTTGTAAGTCAGTTATAAAAAGTGATTAAAAACAAAAAAACAAGAAGTGTCTGATGATTAAACAGCACTCAAACCTCCATAAGCTCACTAAAATGTCAAATGCCTTGTTTTATGCTATTTTCTTGTGGACTTAACATGACTTCAGTGAGCAACAGTGCAAAAGCTTAAAGAACGAGTACAGGTTACTGTAACAGAGCAAGCTAACTGGCAGGCTTTCTTTTAAGGGAGAGTGGTTGGAAATGTAAGGCACTACAGTCTCAGTTGGAGCGTCTCTGCGACTTTCATCACTTCGACCAATCTGCTTGGGGATGCCCGTCATCGTTCAGAAACTCTGAGAACATTTACTGACCAGTTCATTGCCATCCTCGCATTCAAAATATGCATAATCAGGAGCGCACGGATCTTTCCTGCAGTTCAGAGAAGTCCCTAAAGAGAAAGTCTCCCTTGGGCCAACGTGTGCAAAAGTACGAAGGAGCGGCTCGGCAGCTTGCTCGCATGTGCAGCATCTCAGGGTGCAGAGAGGCGGCACGTGCGACCAATGAGGATGGGGGGGATGGAAGAAGCTTCTAGCACAGAAGAAAAAGGGAGGGGGCATATTTGTGCTTACAGGCGAGTGAAAGGACCCACGTGGAGAGGTGCTCTCAGTTTGGGAGAGGAACAGGAGTTGGTGGTGAACAGGGAGGAGGAAGATGGGGAGGACGAGTAAGGAGAAGAGGACGCAGATGAGGAGTCGCCGCTGTTTAGGGTGAAGACACTGGAAATGGCCACGTCCACAATGCCTTGACATAACTCTGGATATAGTTTCCTGCATTAGGAAAGGATAAATAATAACAATAATAAAAATAATTATAAACATTTCAAATTTTAAACAGATGTAAAATTTGTTATATTTTAGATGGAAAAACATTGCTAAAGGACACGTAACATGGAAGGTACTGACTGTGCACAGGCTGGAGCGCCGTTGATTTCAATGAGCCACACTTTGAAGTTCTCGTCCACCATGAAATCAAATCCAAAAAGCTGGAAGCTCTGGTAGGACAGGTGCTTGGTGCTGATTGCGGACTCGATGCATGTCAAACAGCTCCTGTGAAACCAGACACCCAAAATCATCACTGATCATCCTTTTATAACAAAGTCTCTTTGAGTGATGAGAGCAGCCAGCATTTGCCAAACATCAGTCACGTTTTCACAACAGTAATGGTTGTATACTGCTGTTATTAACACCAGTATATGAGGTTTAATCGCACACCGACAGTTTTTAAGAGTTGTGATTGGGCGCTATACGGCCTTTCAATAATACAAAGAAAACCCGACCAATCAGATGACCCCCTATGAGCAAGCACATGGCAAAAGTGGGAAGGAAAAACTCCCTTTTAACAGGAAGAAACCTCCAGCAGAACCAGGCTCGGGGAGGGGCGGGGCCATCTGCTGCAACTGGTTGGGGGCGAGTGGATGAAGAAAGAACAAAGACATGCTTTGGAAGAGATTCACAAATTAATAATCACCAATAATTATATGCAAAGTGGTGTAAAACCACTCATATCTGTTAAAAAACAGTTACGAAAAGAGGTTCTGCTAAAAACCACAATCTTCCTTTTCCTGTACAAAACCACAGCATAGGTTTAAAACTGTGTTTGTTCACACAGGACGCAAGAAGGGTAACTACAAGCAAGCAAGGAGCAGATAAGCGAGAGTGAAAACATGAACCCCCATTATAATGTTGGGAGGATCAGGTCCAGGAATTGTTCAAAGTTCCTATTTTGCATGTTGTAGCACAACAAGCGAAAGTCCACACCAGACATGTTCTCAGCTAGGAATACTCTGTGCAGTTTGGACAAGAGAGCTCTCAGACTGGAGCACTAAAGAGGTAGGACACATGATACCCACCCTCTCTATGAATTCTCTGGACAATTACTCTCACATGGACTCAATCATCATATTACCGAGCTGATAGAGTGTGCTTTAACTTAAATTGTAGCTTGGTCAGGTGATGTTTTGGAAGTTTTATGTGTTAAAGAGGTAAAAACCAGCAGGATTCAGGAGGAAAACGGGAATATGTATGTATGGTCGGAAGGGTAAGATGGCGCTGGCACGGCTGGCAGCCTTAACCCAATTTCCCTCGGGCACCCTCCCCGGGCCTGGCTCCAGGGCGGGGCCCCGGCAACCCTATCCCGGGCAGTGTAAACTGTTCCCTCGATGTTTTCTTCATAAGGGTCTTCTGAATCGCTCTTTGTCTGGTCCCTCACCCAGGACCAATTTGCCATGGGAGACCCTACCAGGGGGCAAAAGCCCCCAGACAACATAGCCCCTGGGATCCCTGGGACACACAAACCCCTCCACCACGATAAGGTAGCGATTCACGGAGAGGCATTATGTCTGATTTCAAATTTTTAAAAAAATAATAATATTTTGCCTTTTAGTGTGGCATAAAAAAAGCTAAGCTCAGCTTTTTATCTAAGAACTAATAATAAAAACAATAGCAAAATAGGTGCCTACTTTATGGTCTGCTTTATCTGAGGTAATATGGTGGTCTCCAGCGTGACGTTGTGAGTGTTCAGCAGGTACAGCCTGAACTCGTCGAAGAACATCTCGTTCCCCTCCTCGTATCGGCCGTAGTTCTGGGAGTGCTCTTTCTGGATGCAGTGGTTAGTCAGGTGGCTGGTCATGTCCTGCAGGTCTGAGCTGTTGTAGGGCTCCGAGGAGGTCCGCAGCACGCCCTCGCGGTATAAGTAGATGTTATACTGATGGTCCACTAGCACCCAGCTCCTAGCAATAGCATAAACATAAAGCTAAGCTGTTAAGTTGGGACATAGCAGTGCTTTCTCTGTGACTTTAAGTTTGGCAAAAAAAAAGAATAAGAAAATAAAACCTGCCTAATGTCAAATTTCCGATGTCCCGGCTCAAGAAGCAGAGGCTTCTCCAAGTACTTCTGAATAACATGAACCTGTCCCTGATTGTCAATATAGTCCAGCAACTCATTAGCATCGTGGGATATCAAAATACCAGCACCTGTAGTAATAGAAAACAAGAAGAAAAACACACACACACACACTTAGCAATAGATATATAATATATATATATAGAGTTATATATATTTATATATATATTATATATATATATATATATATATATATATATACTAATATATATATATATATTATATAGATAGATAGATAGATAGATAGATAGATAGACAGATAAAATGATATCACCTTTAGCTCCAGCAGAGGACTTGGCTATCCACACTGTACCCTCTGCTCTTTCTTTCTTAGCGTTGTAGGAGGCCAAGAAAACTTCCCGCTCATCTGTCTTCGGATTGCTCTTCAGATGGCTGATGCCATTCATAGCAGGAGCAACAGGTGTGTTGAGGTTAGTGGGATAGATGATGTAGGACTCTGGAAACCAGTTACTGGAGTCAGACAGCTCTGGGCTGGTCTTTATTAGCCTAGTGTTTAAGAAAGGGGTCAGAAGGAAAGTGGTCATGTAATAAACTGCAGTGTCAGTAACATGAATGATGGCAGGAATGACAGATTTGCACACACTTGACCAAGGATGCCTTTCTGCAAAGCTTGTCTGCCCCCCTGTAGTAATTCACCAGCTGCATCAGTCCGGGTTCATGGCCTGTAAGGTCACAGTGAAGATGCTTTACCGTCTGTTCATAAATCCGCATGCACAGTGCACAGAAACTCTCAATAAGAGAGACAATCTTTCCACAGGATGCAGCCCTGCACAGTCACAGCTGCTTTCTCATCCAGAAAGGGTGGACACCAAAAATAGCCCGAAAACAATTCTTAAGAAACAAGAAAGAAAGTCTGACTTACCTAAACGCCCAAAGGGTAATCTGTTCCGCTCACCCAGCATCAAGTTGAATCTGGGATTGTCTCTTTTCAGCCTCTTCCATTGCCCGGTTGAGAGGAGGATTTTGGAAACTTCAGCATAAACAGTACTGTTGTCGTCACGGGAAACAAAGGTGTACATAGGGGCGTTCATAATGCCGCTGCGATAGGGGGTCAGAGGTTTAATCAAAACGGTTTAGTGTGTGAGTAACTTAGCTGTCTGGCTAGTTGTGCGGCTGCCGGGTTGGCACTGCAGCAGACAGAACGGTTGGGGTTATCTCCTCTGTCCGTGCCATGATGATGAGTCAGTCATATCCCCTCCACACTTCCCAGTTAACTCAAACTGGTGCTCGGAAGATTAATTTCAGCACTCCGTGGCTAATATGTATTATATATAAAACACCATGCCAGGTAAAGCAATTTCACATAAGTCGGCACAGGGTTATTTCAGAAGCACCACACAAGGGAGTGACTGACTGCTGATACCGGCTACTGGGGCTGGTCCCGTCTGGATAAATTTACATCCCGTCTCCGGATTAGCTAAGGTTATAGCTAACGGTCTGCGACAATTGCTAACAGTTATCTACGAGACACTTCCGGTATTTGTCCTCAAATGCAAAGGAAAAAGTCACAAGGAGCGGAAACATTAACTAAGTGGATAGTTTGCTGCACAATATCACAAACACGGGCTATTCTCCCACCGCCGGCGTGCGCTTTATTCTCTGGAAATCAGCAGCAAACCCTGTCATCCACCGTCGACAGCATAAACACCACCGCGCAACCGTTGTGGTTAGTGTAGTTTATGAACAGAGTGATGTCCAGGATAATATCTGTTTAAATGTTTATTTTATATTTTTAAAGCAATTTGACACAAAATGAATTCGATATGTATAAAAAAATCTACTTCATTTAAACTCGATTTTGATTTAATTCAAAGTCTGGATGAAGTTCAATGACAAGAGAACTACATTTCCCAGAAAAAAAGACTCTAAAGTGGCAATGCCATATGCGTATTGTAGCCAGGAGATGGCGTCGTAGACCTCACTAAAATTAGCAGACCTGTGTACTGTTGGCAACATAGTCCGCAGAAAAAAGTCTTGAAACTGAAGAAAAATCGCTCCACGTTTTATATTAAGTTCCTCTTACTTCTTAAAATAACTAACATCAATCACGAAACTTTTCGTGAAATTTGATAACGAGGTGTATTAGCTTTTGTAGCCTGGACTGGGCGGAACTGGAGGATAAATGGAGCACTCCCTACTTGTGACAACTTATGGGTCTCGTTCCAACATGTAAAAAACTTAGTTGCTTCATTTCGTTTACTTTAATGTCCCAGTCTCGTCATCATTATTCGATGTTTTATGTATTCAAAAACTAAGATCGTTGCTTCTTTGCGCTGGTTCCCTGTATTAGGTGAAAAGTTATGCGACGGCCACAGTTGTAGATTTTTTGAGAGCGAATTGGAACGAGACAGGAAGTCCTAGTTTCGGGAGGGAGAACAAACTAGAGGCGGGAATTACCGCTACTGTAAACATCGAGTTAAAGTGCATTACAAAAGTTGTTACGAGTGTATTCATATATTTTTTATAATTTTTTGACAAGATATCAGTAATAGTAAGTGACGTCCATTATGAATACTGTTGTTTGTTGTGGCGCATTTTCAGATAACAGTTCAGACAAGTTGGGTGCGTCGAGACTGATAACCTGTTTTTACTGCAGCTCTCCGTGGTTCAGCTACATATACAGAGATTCAAATTACTTTTAGCCTTGTCACTGACTATTCATCGTTGGAGATCATGCTCAGGGAGGCAGTTGTATGTTGCTTTATGTGGGGATGAAGGAGTTTTATTTAAGTCTGAGAAAACGAAATGTTGTATTTAGAGTTTATCTCAGCTGGGACATGTGGAGTATTAAAGACATGGGCGAAGGATGAAGGCTGTTCAGTTTCAATGCTAATGAGTGTGGCCTACCATTTTTAAAGCTGGATTCAAATCACGTGTTTATTTGTTTTTTAATTCCTTTCATTTATATCAAAATCACTATAACTCAGTGTTACTGCATACATGGTTATTTATGTAACGTAATTAAGTGGCAGCTTTTTCTCTGTATGGGTTTTGGGGAGATTTGTGCCTTGGCATTTACTGGGGTCATGTATTTTTAATAACTCTTGTCCCTTCGTCTTCACCAGGCTGGAGCAGGCCAGGCATGAGTGGCGCACACCTGGACGAATGGCAGAAGAGGTCCTTTGACATTTCATCTGGCAACTGTACACCTGAACAGACGGCCGATGCCTACCGGGCCCACATCCTCTCCATTCAGTATGCATGGGCAAGCTCCCAGCTCTCTCAGGCCGGCATGGCCAGCCTGCTCAGGACCTACTCGGAGCGCTACGCTGCAGTGTTGGACTCGGACGACCCGCGCACAGGGCTCAACAACTATGCAGAAAGCGCGCTCCATCTGGCCCGCAGTCAGAAGAACTACAGCGACAAATGGGAGTCATCCCTCACTGCAGAGAGCGTGCTGGAGTTGCCCAGTGTTCAGAAAACAATTCAGGCAAAGACAGGAGGTGAGAGCTTTGTGGTGGCACCAGCTGACATTAACATAACTGTGGGGCAAGAGGGTAAAGGTAGCTCTCTCACTCCTCCCTTTAAAACTGTGCAACCACCGCAGCTTAAATCAGAGGTTAAAATCGCAGCCAGTATCCCTGCTAATGTTTCTGTGGAAAGGCCCAGCAGTCACGAAGGGATTTCAGTCAATCCACCCTCATTCTCCCGACCTCCAGCTCAGCCACAGTCTGTGTTTAGTCGCCCTTCTCCAGCTCTCCCACATGTAAACCCTGGCCCCGCAGGGGTCACGCAGCACTATCAGTCCTCCTTCTTTCCCACCTCCAACACATCGAAGCGGAAACATTTTTACAACACAGACGGAGGTGATGTTGGCAGGGAGCAAAATGGCAGTCAGGTGTCATCAGACCCACGGGCTGTTACCACCTTCAAAACAGCTCGTGAGCAGTTTGTTGTTGACCAGCAGCGAAAGCACTCCCATCAGCCTCAGAGAGGTCAGGCCCCTGGGATGGCGGCAACTGTGAAGAAATCTCTGGGCGCCAACAGGCCTCGAGGTGCATTTTCAAAATTTGTGTCTCCCATTCCACGACAGGAAGAGGAGGGAAGTGTGGCGAGCCGTAATTCCAATCAGGAACCTCAAATCCTGGACGAGCGTCTGAAAAACTTTGAGCCAAAGATAATCGAGCTGATCATGAGTGAGATCATGGACCACGGGCCTCCGGTGGGCTGGGACGACATAGCAGGTCTGGAGTTCGCCAAGACTACCATAAAGGAAATTGTGGTTTGGCCCATGCTGCGACCTGACATCTTTACTGGCCTCCGTGGCCCACCCAAAGGCATCCTGCTGTTTGGACCGCCAGGAACTGGAAAAACTCTGATAGGTAAATGTATTGCCTGTCAATCAGGTGCCACTTTCTTTAGCATCAGCGCCTCATCACTCACATCCAAGTGGGTGGGTGAAGGAGAGAAAATGGTGCGAGCTCTGTTTGCCATTGCCCGCTGCCACCAGCCTGCTGTTATTTTCATCGATGAAATCGACTCCCTGCTGTCCCAGCGGACGGACGGTGAGCACGACTCCTCGCGCAGGATAAAAACAGAGTTTCTGGTCCAGCTAGATGGAGCGGCCACTGCAGCAGAGGACCGAATCCTGGTGGTGGGTGCCACCAACCGGCCCCAGGAGATCGACGAGGCAGCACGACGCCGCCTGGCAAAGCGGTTATACATCCCCCTGCCCGAAGCGACTGCCCGACGCCAGATAGTGACAAACCTCATGGCTCAGGAGAAAAACCAGCTGGGAGAAAGCGAGGTGGAGAGGGTGGTGACAGCCACGGAGGGCTTCTCCGGAGCCGATATGACTCAGCTGTGTCGAGAGGCAGCACTGGGGCCCATACGCAGCATCCAGCTCAGTGACATCGCCACCATCACCGCGGATCAGGTGCGACCCATCATCTACAGTGACTTCCACGACGCCCTGAAGACTGTACGTCCCAGTGTGTCATCAAAGGACTTGGAGCTGTATGAAGAGTGGAATAAAACCTTTGGATGTGGGCGTTAAACTTTTCTTTGTCTCCGTTCAGGTTCTGGGTGTTGAAAGAAATGGAAAATGTAAAGACGTTAAATGCTTTCTTTGTTCTGCACAAACCCGACAAAGTGGGAGGACCCAGGACTAAAAACAAAGAATGACAGTCTCATGAAAAAGCTGAAAACTATAAGACGGGTCTCTTTAATGCAGTCTTTCTGGGGTTTTTCCCCATATATTGCCAAATATCCCTATGATGAGAAGTTGGCCTTATCTGTGTGATGAAGAGCTGAATTCAGTTTTATTTGTTTGCCTACGAAAAACAGGGCTTCCATAAATGACAAGGAAAACAGAATTAAAGAAGAGAAAAGGACCTTTTTATTGGCTACCAGTTAAATAATTATTTTAAGCCTGTGTATCAGCTTAGTCCAGTCATATTGGATTGCACAGGTGAACAGGTGCCTCTTTTATGAGTGTATGTGTAATGTGTTAGTCTCTGTGCTAGTGGTCCGTTGTTTTGAGGTTTTTCAACACTACTCGTAAAGGTCAGGGTGTCGTAACATGAAGAAAAAATGAAGAAAACCTTACCTCGTTCCCACTTTGTACTGAGAGAATTTGCCATCTGCGTTCAGCTTTTTGGTCATTTTCAGGTGTTTGTGCCGGTCAGGCTGATTTTGTTCTGTTGCTTTGTGATCCGGTGTTAGGTAGTGTGTATTATACACAAACCATTTTCCAGTTGAAGCCCTGTTTTCCATTTAAATTCTAGTATTTCACATCAAGGATAGACATTCACAGTCGAATTATGACTTAATGCTTGTCATCTGTTTGGTCTTTTTCAGTTAACTGCATGGTCGAAATTGTTTTTGTCCCTAATAAATGTATATATCACACATCTCCACAAGTTTTTGTCTCAGAGTGTGACAGTAAGCAATAAGTTTATCTCTAGGCTGCGGTGACATATCCGATCCCATGCGATCCACAGAGGGCAGTGTGATCACGTTTGAGCACCACAACCACGGTTTGCCTGAAGTCTCACTGTCCTGAAATGTTCCTGAGGCTGGATGTGTTAATCATATCCGCGGAAGTTGGGCAACACGGAGAGTATCCTGGGTCTTGTGTTTAAAAAGAGAAAAAAAAGAAAAACTTTGCCTGTCTTCCTGTTAGTGATTAAGACAGCAGTGTTACTGCAATACATCCCTTTTGCAGGGCCTCTGTGTTAGTTCTGATCCATGGAGTTTGTGCCCGGTCAAAGTGTTTGCAACTGCTTTCTCAGTGAAGACGTCCCTCACGCAAGCGGTGTGAGGATTTTTAACATTATGTTTTTCAAGTTAAATGCCTCACTGGTCACACATGCACTACCACTGAAGGGGGCCATTAGAGATTGTGCACACATGAAACAAAATCTCATGTAAATTTCATCAAGAAATCTTTGAGAATCTGGAAGACCATGAAAACGGGGCTTTCATTTATTTTTCATCTTTTTTGTCAGGTCCCTGATAAATATTTCACACTTGTGTTGTTGGCCACTGTATAGAAACTTTGTTGAATTAGCCAGCAGTGAAAGTAGTCACACACGCACCCTTCCCCCCCAACGGGTGGGCTTCTCCGATCGCGGGGACTCCTCACAGCTGGACCAGGACAGATGCGCAGAATTCCTCTGGTGCTGACGGGATCTATAGAGCCCATTGAGTATGGACTGAAAACTGTGCCATATGGTGTAAGCTTGTAGCTCAATTTGACTGTGGCTGTGAAGCAAGTGGTCACATCTGGGGCAGTGTGGTCACAAACAAACACATCACACAGTACATTTACAGAGAAGAAAATAAGGTCATTTTACTGAATCATTTTATCCTTAATACGGATTCAAGCTGAGGTAGAAATAAGTATAAGCACTTGGTGTTGCTTTTTTCCCTGTGTTCACATATATACAGTTGTGGAAGAACTACACAAGCTGTGCTCAAGTAGAAGTTTAAATGTAATAAGTTATAGGAATAAAATTCCAGTATTTAAAATCAAATCTCATGTCATTTGTAATATAGAAACATTACAGGTAAATTTACGGTATTACTATATTTATTTAGAGTTCTTGTGAAAGCATACAATGGTTTTAGTCAACATTTCTTTCTGCAATGTATCCATATTGTGCAGTTACCGTCTGCATTGTTTGATGCAGGGTCCGGTAATTCCATACTGCCTTCAGATTGGCTAATAGGAAAGAGTACATCATGCTGTTGTATGTCACAAATATTTTACTTAAAGAAAAACATTCTGTGCCACCAACCATGAAATTAGACTGTGTTTGCTGGCTATTACTGAAAAAGGGGGTTTCTTTACTCTGTTTTACCACAGTGCAGTCTCCAGAGTGGAAAAATCGAGTCCCGCAAAAACTGCAGTTCCACTAATGGCCACTTGAGGCTGGCTCCAAAAGCATCAGTTCACAAAGACTCCCGTGTTATAATGTCCAACTTTACAATGTTAAATAACATATTTACAGCCTGCTAATAAAGCAGTCTGGCCTCTATGGGTAGTTTTACTGCTCGTAACAGTGAGCTGGGTGAACTTTTAAAAAAATAATTAATTCACCTGGATTGTCTGACTTCGGTTGAGGTCATATTCATTGACAGGTGTATTGATGCAAGCAGCCAGAGATGATCTGGGTCTGCTGGGCCTTTTACAGTATTTTAATAGGTTATTTGAGTAATACTATGGCGTGCTGTGTGAGACAGACTATCTAACAAGTTTGTGCTGAGTGAAACGGTAGAATTTTAGTAGTCTGTTAGTTAGCACTAATTAGCTATATATGAATCTGTCTGTTTAATTATGATGATTTCTCTAACCACACTTTTTTTTGCTTATTGTCCAGCTTGCATCACTGTTTACATTGTAACAATTCAATATAAAATTCTCAGTCTGAAAGGTAGATACATGTGAGAGTAAAAGAACATAATATGTTTTATAATATGAGTTAATTTCTGCTGCTCTTTCTGCAGAACATGCAAACATGCACTTAATGTCCCCGTTGCTCATTTAGTGAGACATATCTTTACATGATCAAACTGCATTCCTAAGTAGTGAAATCCATGTGACGAAATGCCAAGACAGGCAATCAAATGTAATCTGCACATGTTGAGAAACACCGGTAAACACAGCGCTCCCATTTGCGAAGTTTGCAGTAAATGTTCTATTATGGTCTTCCACTAATGAACCGCAGCCCGGCAAAAGTGTGAAAAATAGTAATTTCAAACTTCTTGTTGGAACATGTAAAAGCCACCACTCTGGTTTAGTCTGCTTCTTGAAGGAGTATTTCTGTCCAGGGCTGAAAGGGGAAGTGAGATCTGGGATTCTGGCAGGGCCAGAGTTGGTTGGCCAGATTATCCCTCTCATGCAAATGCCCTCCCTCCCCTGTTGGGTCCTAGTCAAGCGTAGGGGGGCTCATCGCTGGCCACAGCTGCTTCCCGTTTCAGCTAAATCACACAGCAGCCATCTGGACAAGGCTGTCTCAGTGCGCGGCGCTGCTGAGCTCCTCTGCCGGCCCGAATGAGCATCTACAGACAGACCTGGCCCTCAGAGCCCTGGCCCCTGCCTTCTGCTCCGGTGGCTGATCCTCCCTGTCCCAGCTCTCTGCCGCTCAGAGGACCATCCAGACTCTTCAGGTCTTGGACGCACGGCACACGTCGACATGCTTTTGTATGTGTGTGTGTGTGGAGTATGTACCTTCCAATATTTCAGTCTCATATTGTCCCTTTGGTGATTTATTATCTAATGTGGCAAAATTAAATTTTAATTGAGTTAGTATTTGCCTTTTTCCCCTGAAAAACAAGTCTACAGTGTGGTTGTGTTTGTTTACTCTTCACTCCCTCTTAATTTTCTCACCGTCTGCTTTTTTTGTGTTTGTTTCTTTGCACAAATGCCAGTCATTCACTGTTTGCTACCCTTTTCTTTGACAGCTAGAGCTGGCAGCATGAATGACATGTAAACGTAATTATTTCACAGACTTTGAGGAGCGTGTGAAGAGAGCGAAATGTGGGAACGAATCTGAGGGAAACTTTCCGTTAACTCCCGAGTTAATTTTGCCGAGCCCGACCCCAATTTGTAGATTTTCACATTTCCTTTGGCACACGGATATCCAGGAGGTCTGCTTTCTCCTTACTTCTACAGCCATCTTTAAAAACAGAAAAAAAAAAACAGAAACACTCTTCCCACACTATTTGCATATATAAAATATCCTTTATTGATATTTTTGCAAGCATTAAGCTCCCTTCAACTGAGGTCAACTTCGTTTTCGTCTCACGGGTCAAACAATTCTTAGCCATCAGGTATAAAACAGAAAAGTCCAGGATAACATTTCCCTCTGATAACACTAAAAATAGCTTCCAGCAGCAGTCATGGATCAGATAACATCATACACATTTAGTACAGCCGAACTGAAAAAGAAAAAAAAATGCAGCTTTGACTACTCTAAGAAACAAACATCGATCACTGTAATAAATACAAAAAACAGACAGGCATGTAAATGTATAAATAACGTGAAGGTTATTACAAACACAAGAGCAGGTTAAAACCTTACAGGGGAGCTGTGGGTCTATCTACACTGATTGTTACGTTACTGATTGTATTTATGTTACACTGGGTTTGCCTGCACTGGAAACAGCCGCAGAAGGAATTGACATTTTTGCTGTTATTCAACACAGAAAGGTGTCAAAGCAAAAAGGATGTAAATCCTATTACTTTAAATCTTGAAAAAAAGAAGGAAAAATAAGACCTTTTTTTATATATTTACATACACAGGTGATGTGTATTTATGAAGTACTGTTCTTCATTCCTGTGAGGAATGAAGAACAGTACTTCTTTACTTTGTTTTCTTTAAAAAAAAAAAAAAACCCTAAAAAAACAAAATAGTTGGTATCAGAGATGAAGATCAATGTTTTTAATAGTTGTATATTTATTTGTGTGTCAACAAACATGCATACCTTATAAAAAACACACAGACATTAACAATGTATTTTACATGATGTATTTATATTAATTTATTGCATGTGCTTGCCTGTGTGTGTGTGTGTCTGTCTGTCTGTCTGTCTGTGTGTCTGTTCTATCCTGTGAAAGTGTGTATGTGTGTTCTCTGGTCGATGTGGCTCAGTAGCGATGCTCTCCTCGTGTTATGTGAGAGGAGAACTCGTATCGATCTTGACTCCGGTGACCGCAGAGGTTGCACTCGAAGGGGTCTCTGAAGCCGTGGCAGCCCATGTGAATGGTGTACATGACGTGGTCCAGGAAGAGGACGCGGCAGTGTTCGCACCTGTACGCCCTCACCTGCTCCCCGTCCGCTGTCACTACTTTGAAGCCCTCGGAGGCCATCTCCATGGCCCGGATGGTGTCGAACTGCCTCTGTTGTTCCTCCTTCACCAGGGGAAGCACGCCGTTCCTAACCCCCTGGGTGATGTGGTTGGTCAGGTAGATGAGGCCGGGGGCTGCTCCGGTCGGGCGATCCTCGTTGTTGCTCTCGGTGTCCGTGGAGTCCTGGCCGCTGTGGCTGGGCGAGCCGTCCTTCTCGCTGGAGGCAGACTTGGAGTTGGAGAGCAGCAGCAGGTTCTCGGCCGCACTGTCTTTGGCTGACAAGCCCGTCCCTGCGTGGGCCTCCGTCGCCGGCTTGTGGAGGGGGTAGATGGAGCCGAGGCCCACATCGGAAGAGGAGGTCTGGACCAGAGGCCGGAGCGACTCGGCGCCTAGGTAGCTGATGGCGCTGTTGATGGCCTGGTCGATGACGTGGGGCTGGATCAGCTCGCTTGCTCCTCCGTCATAAGAAAGGTCCGACAGACGTTTGTCACCTGAAGAGAAGGAGAGACAGAAGGGCAGGGTGAGGTTCGTACTACGCTGACACACTTTCACCTGCATCCTATCATCTCACCATCTTGACACTGAGCCACTGAGTCTTAAAATGAGTCACTTCAGTCTACCTCTTGATGTTCTATTTTTCTCCCTCTTTTGATTATTTTTTGCTTTTTGTGTGGATATGAATCGCTTAAATGTAACATGTCTATGCAGAATCAAGGTAATATTTCAATGTAGTCTTTTCCAGTGACGATTAAGCAAATAAAAGGTGCAGTCTGTGATTAGGCTGCACTGCATAGAACCAGGCTTGCAGAGAAAAATGCAACCCCAATGAACACAAACAGTCACAGTTACACTTTTTTTTTCTTTCAGCAAAAAGCAGCGAAATTGTATTGACACAAAAGAAGCAGATTTCAGCCCTTACCCACAAACTTCTGTGGCATAGTGCTCTTACGTTTAGCTACATTATTAGCTAGTCTGTCTAGCACCAAGGCTCTGTCAGATCCCGTCTGGCTCAAGTCTTCCCTCTGCTCATTCTGGTTGCTTTCTTCCTTTACTACTGGAAAGCAAGACAGAGAAGTAGATTTTAGCGTCAAAGTAACTGGAGTTTGTCCTGCTGGCACAAGCCTGATGGTGGTTTTCTCACAGAGCACAGAGCGGACTATTCTGACACACGTGAAGCACTTGGTTTACGAATATAACATTTGCTCATAATGATCTGTTTTCAGGTTTTAATGTAGAGCTGTACAGAACACTAAGTATGAAGTGTCTAAATTTATATAGACAAAGAAACTGACTTAATTAGCTCGGATACCTACACGAGCCTATATTTAAATGGAAATGTAGCCTGTCTTGTTTTTTAGCAACAAAGACAGTGACTGTGATAGGCTGCTGTTCTGTGCACAGTTTCCTGCATCCCGTGCTTAGGATAAAGTAGGTCATTAGATCTGGGTGAAAGTTAAAGCGCACGCCTCGTGAGGCACCAACCTGTGTAGATGGTGTTTTGCAGTCCCATACACTGGAGGTAGTTGTGACACCTCTCTTTGTGCTCTTCTAGAGAGCTGCGCTGCTTATAGCTCCGCCCACAGTAAGCACACTTGTGGGGTTTTCCAACTGCAAAAAAAAATAATTACATCAGTGAAAGCAGAGCAGTGCAAAACTTTTTTTTATAAATAATTAACACTAAAGTAAGTTAAATGGCCATTTGGTTCCTTCTTCTTGA